ATAGGATCTAAACCCCAAAATATTACAGAACAAAAGGAAATATGATACAGAAGCCTTTAGTTGAGGTTTTAAGAATTAAATGTTTGTGATAATAAAAAAAAAAAGGAAAAAGAAAAAGAAAAAGAAATTTCTGTTCAGTTCATTCGTGGGGCTGTTTGAGATATCCTTTCATCTTCCAGAAGTGCGTACGGGTCAATATATTGTGGAGGCGATATTGGCTTGTTGCTAGCATCGTGGACGAAAGATGATCCAAAATACTGCTCAAGGACGAAAATCGTTAGTTAACATTGAAGCAAAACAAAAACTGTGTGCATCAAAAATGATTTGAAAACACTAGAAAGTTTAGCAGTAAGGGTTAAACATAAAAGAGCAAATACAACCAGAAATCATTGACACACAATGTATCTGAGAATGGAACCATGTGATAAATGAGTCTGGAGCTAGAGTTTGTATACGAGGAAAACCAACCAAATGAATGTTTGCAGTGACAAACTCACTTCAAGAAATCCAATTGAGTCAAAATCTGAACCATTGTTGGCTTATATCTTGATAAAGTAAAAGGTCTAGCTAGGCTAATGAGAAGAATTAGTCTGGAGAGACAAAGAAAGAAAGTGTTGTCTCCAAAATTGCAAAAATGGGTGTAAACAGAAAGCTTACAAGGTAGAGAGCAGAAAAGAATGCTACAGTCAGGAGGATCAAAGGTCCAAATGCCAGGGAGAATGTTCCTCCAAGTGATAGCAAGAGTTTAGCCCGAGGAATCAACCCCTGAAACAAATAAAACATTTCAATTCCTGATTTGTACCTGCTGACAAGCACACATATAGAAAATGCACACACATACTACTTTTAGCACAAGAAAAATCAACTTCACTCAACCGCATACAATTATACAGGGACAAAAAAACTACCATGAATTATTTGTACCATAAAACATGTAGAATGTAACATCTTCAAAAAAGGCTTTTCTTTTAGGGTAACAAAAAATCCCCCTCTTCATCGCTCACTTGGAGCTCGGAGGGTAAACCCCAAGTGACCATAAAGCATTTGAACATATACCTAAATTGGAGAGATAAGTTTGTTTCCAATTGGGAGAGGAGAAAGAAACAAAAGCTAGCAGTTGCCTTGTGGCAAGATTATCCTCGTCCTGAGAGGTCATTTAATGCTGTTTATCGGAGGAACCCCAATCCATTCGGGGTTTTTCCAATGATAGGCGGTGATTATGATCTCCTCCCAGTGCCTGTTGTGAATTACCCTTTTGCACGAT